GTAGAATTCAAGTTGGTTGGTTGAAGTGGAGGAATGCTTCGGGCCTTTTGTGTGATAGAAAAGTACGGCTAAGACTGAAAGGAAAATTTTATAAGATGGTGGTGAGACCTGCAATGCTCTATGGCGTTGAATGTTGGCCTTTAAAAGAGAAGCATAATAATAAGTTAAGTGTTGCCGAGATGAGAATGATTAGGTGGATGAGTGGCTTTACACTTAGAGACAAAATGCGGAATGAATATATTTGTGATAGGGTTGATGTAGCTCCTGTGACAGACAAAATTAGAGAAAGTCGTCTTGGATGGTTTGGTCATATTAAACGTCGACCATTAGATGATCTGATTAGGAGAGTAGATGTTTTAGATTCGACTTGTGTTAAGAAAGGCAGAGTTGGACTTATTGTATTAAAAATGATTTTAATTTACTAGAACTAAATGAAAATATGACACTAAATAGGACGCAATGGAGAAAAAAGATTCATGTAGCCGACCCCACGTAGTGGGATTAAGGCTTTGTTGTTGTTGTTGTTGTATGCTCAACCTATGATCTATAGCCATCTAAAATTTATGGGGAGATTTATAAAAAAGGGGAATTTACATAGTTACCAACCAATTCCTATGTATTTACATATCTAGCACCTAAAATTTACTTTTTTACATTAATACCACCAAAATGTTTCATATCACATAAAAAATACCACAAATTTCAACTTTTAAATAGTGAAATACACATTTTCATGCATAAAAAAGGTGGCATGTATGTAAAAATTGAAGCTTAGATGTAGATATGTACATACATAAAAATTGAGTGGTATGTATGTAAACCTTTAAAACATAAAACCTTCCGCAGTTTTCTCTTTTTTAAAAGGAAAGTTCAACTAAGACTCTTAAAGTTGGCTTTTATTTATTTTTTAATATTTTGGTTTTATTATATTGCCAGGTCCCAAGTCTCGAATGCGATGGAGGGTTGCATTAGGTAGTCGACAACCAACATAAATTTTTTGTCAAAAAATCATGATACAAATCTTTTAAATTCATGTGCAAATGCTAGGGCATCCTCCGGAAGCGATGCACTATATGATCATAATACAAGGAAAAGTGTGCAAGAGCCACCGCACCGACGCCCGGGTATAGTGTCAAATAAGCAAAGGTTTCGACATTATGGTCATATGCATGCAAAGAAATTAGTGAATGAAACTAATATTAGGATAGGTTCTTTGAATATAAATAATCTCACAGATAAATTAATGGAATTTGTAGATATTATGGTTCATATGATGATAATCATCTTATGTATTCATGAAACTAAATGGGTTAGAGAAAATGCTAAGGAGATTGATAGCTTAAATTTTAAACTTCGGTATTTATGTAGGAGTCGTATTGGAAATGATGTATGTGTATTTATAGATAAGAGTTTGAAAAATAATATTGTAAAAATTAATAAGATTGGAATTATAACCTTAAAGATTATTGTTGATACTAAGATTTTAAATGTTATAAGCGTTTATGTTCCTAAAATATGTTTAGATATAGGCTCAAAAGAAAAATTTTAGAATTACTCATAAGAATTAATATAAATGATTCATCTTGAAGAAAGAATTTTTATTGGAGAAGATTTAAATGAATATATTGATAGAGTGGTAGAGGATTTAGAAATATTCTTCATAATTGCAGTTTTCGAGTAATTAATTAAGAAAGTAGAATCATATTAGATTTTGCTTTAGCTTGTGATTTTATTATTACTAATACTTAATTTAAGAAGAGAGATGAACATATTATTACTTATAAGAATGGATTCAATAAAACACATTGATTATTTTCGCACGAGAAAAAGAAATCGTTGAGAATGTAACAATTGTAAGGTCATTTCAAGGGAAAATTTAAGTAACATAAATTATGAGTTCTGAATTTTATGATGAGTTGTAAGATAAATAATATAATGAAACATTGTCATATATTCAGATCGGGGCAACTAAAAGACAAATAAAAATATTTTTACGAGTAAACTTTAAGATTTCAAGATTTGAGATGTTAATGAAGAAACTAATTCTATGTGTGATAAAGTAATAAATGCTATTAAAAATGCGACAAGAGATGTACTTGAAGAATAAAAAAATATATATAAATAAAATAGTTGTTGAAATAATAATATGCAAGAAAAGTTTAAATATAAAAAGTTGTGTTATAAAAATTGGTTTGAATGCAAAAGCTTAGAAAATTGAGAAAAATATATGGTGATCGTAGAGA